AACGATTAGCTGGTCCAGGGCACCACAGCGGTCAACGGCGGCACTTAGACCTGATTGGTTCATGTCGCCCCCTCAAGTGGGCAGGATCAACCGACCTGCAGCCGCATCTCCACCTTTTGTTTCCAGCATCAGCCGCATCCATTCCCCTACGACATCGTTCTGTATGGACTCTATATCTCTGTGTTTCGTTCAGTCATCGTTTTCTCCCGAAATACATTCCAGTCCACCTTCACACAAAGACGCCACCAGTCTGGTGCATGATCCCGATCCATCCGTGTCATGTTGAGATGACGATTTCCCGTGTCTCGCAAAGGCTGTCTATCTAAACGGGCTAGTACCTTGGCCCCAGAATGGCCATGGCCCCACGGAAAGGAACGCGACGAGCGTGTGACCCTTGTTCTGTCAGTGAGTGTTAGGTGCATGTCAACGCTCGTGACACGACTGACATTACGTTTCCTTCGTCTAGGGAAAGTGCGATGTGATGGCAACCAGCCATGTTCAAGATGCGAAGCCGCTAGCTGGGACTGCACCTACTTGAAAACGCATGGAAAAAGCGGACCAAAAGGACCACGACGGACCACGGAAGCCGCGATCAGGAGACTGCAGGAACGCAGCAAGGGCACCCATGATGAGGGGTCAAGAAGCAACAGCGAGACGAGCTTTGACGCTGGAAGCCCAGTATCTACCGAGCTAACCTACCTTGACCCCATCTCTTTGATGAGCGATGCCGATGGTGAACCCAAAGCCTGGCCGGACATCTTGAGTCCAACCCTCTCCGCCACCCCTCACGAGCCTCAGAGGATATCGATTGCTTGCCTATCGCAATATTTGGATATCTATTCGGCACGCGGATACGGTATATGGCCGGTGGTCGATGCAGAGGCTCTGACGGCACGTCTTTTGACTCATCCCGATGATTTGGAAGCTTATGCATTAGCCACTGCAATATCTGCTGCTATAGTGAGCCAGTTCTCTATGGACGAATCGGGGAGTCCACTGGAGGGCCACTACCGCGTCCCGAGTGGCACATTTGAAATGGAAGCAAAAAAGGCAAGGAACGAATGCGATCACCTGGAGAACGTCACTGTGTTCTCTTTGCTGAGCAGCTTCTTCCTACATGTCTACTCGGCAAACGTTGGGAGGATGAATGCTTCCACAGTGTTGCTTGGAGAGGCCATCTTCAAAGCGCACATCATAGGATTGCATAAGGCGAATCATTACGAGCACATGACCGCGGAGCAAACACAATATGCGTTGAGAGTATACTGGCTCCTCTTCATCACGGAGCGAGCACATTCTCTGCAACACGATGTGCCGACAACACTCAAGCGCGCCCCAAATCTCCCTCGACTGGAGGACCTACACGATGGATCGGTCACACCTGCTTTTGTTCAGCTTTGCCGTCTGTTCAACATTTTGGATGTCACTATAACCGCCGAGCCAGCAGCTGCGCGCCACGCCCTCGCATTAGCTCAGCAACAGCTTAGCAGTGATGAGGACCCCCGCAGCCTCGAAAACGAGCTCCAGCGCGCAGATATAACAATGACGCAGCAATGGATGCGCATCTTCTTGTGGCAGCACGCACTCAATGTAACGAATCTGAGCAGTCGCGCCAGCCAGGATGAGGAGTTCTCATTTCGCTTTCCCGCCAAAGTCGCCCAAAACGTCCTCAGCAATCTGAGTAGCCTCTCCCGCCAGAGCATTGAGGCGCATGGGCCCGGCATGGTACGGAATATCTCGCTAGAAAAGTAGGATGTCACTAACATGTATACAGGAGTCGAAACTTTTCGATGTTGCCAACTCGCTTGCAGACGTCATGATGATTATGCCTTCTCTCAACCACGAATCTCACTTCGACGTTGGACCTAGAGATTTGATCCACTCGCTTGCGCAAGTGCTGGCCTCCTTTCGTGGTGGCAATCCTGCTGTCATTAGTATACTGCAAGAGAAGCTCACTATGCTTGGACTCTCCGCTGGGTCGCCGCAGAAGTTGCTTGAGCTTTCCTCGCCGGAAGAGGAGCATGACGAGTGGCACGACCGCTCCATGTCTGCTCCCTCTACCTACCCGTCCTTGAGTCCGGACGTTTCAATGTCACCCTCACTCCAGTCGAGCATGAGTATGGATGGGACGTATTGATCTTTCCTGATCACCGCAGGAGAGCTTTTGCAGTATCATGCACATCCGGACAAAATATCCGGTTGCACAACGCGTCCAACCATGGTCATTCAGGCAGTCGTGCCCTAGCGATTCGATTACCTAGCATCCGCAAGGCAGGTGCTTGTCAGCAAGCGCCCAAATCTCTCAACACAACGTGGGCCAGCCATGGCATGGCGCTTATCGTCGATGAGACCAACATGATTGATGCACCAGGCTTTGGCCAACGCCTGGTAAAACGCACCTCTATTACTGCAGGCCATCCGCGAAGGTCCAGTAAGATCACTCATTGGACTCTGCTAAATGAGTGCTCACGACCCCTGGATCGGGTCGCACACCATCGGAACAAATGCAACGTTCTGTTGGGACACCATAGGGATCGCGGTAATGCCACCTCTGGAAGCCGAGTAGCGCGGAAATATGGAAGTAAAGCACGGCAGATGATGAGCTTGAACAGGCGTCAAAGCAGAAAGTCAACGCTGAAGTTACGCAAACACAGGCTCGTATGAGAGTTAAGAGGGTACCAGCGACAGCGCATGTAAATACGATGATCGTTATCAAGGCCCGTGGTTCCTTGAGACAGTGTTGCTTGGTTTATTCCTGCTCTCTATCTAAACATGAGGACAGCAAGCGTTAGCATTAGCACCACGGCGTGAGCATGTCATCAACCAGTACACCACGCAAGCATTCGCCTGAAACGGGGAAAGTTTCTCGACACTCAGTTCGGAAGTGACACGAAGTCAAAATCGCAGCATGCTGGTTCTACTTTGCAGCCGATCTTCAAATTATATACATCAGATTCGCCATTAGCAGTCATCAACAGCTCCCTCCCTCATTTCATAGAGATGGGAAGGCCTGGATGAGCTGGAGTAGCTGGGCTCTCGTTCATTTGCTCGAGACCATAGTTGATCGCCGCGGCGATATCCTGATTGTTCTTCTCCAGGAACATGAAGTGCCCATTGCCCTTGATACCAATGTCGGCAAGTTTGATCCACTGGTAGTTGGTGAGGCCCATCTGCTTGAAGTACTCGATGAAGCAGTGGTCGTACGTGATGTGCGGGCTGGCCTCGCCTGTGATCATGATGTAGGGCACTTTGCCGAGTTGGGTGAGCTTGTGAACGGTGCCAGTCTGCAGAATGCAGGAGCGCTTGGCAGGGTCATCTGGGCCGACCTCAGTTGTAGCAATGGTCGAGCAGTTCGTTACTGGCGGATCAAATTGCAGCGGTGTGTATGTGAGGCCACAAGGCCGCGCCGCAGTACGACCGACCCCAGCAACAGTCGTGTTCCCGATCAGAGAAGTATGTGGGATGTTGCCAGGCTCGATGTTGATGTTGGCGCGCAGCAGGTCAGGGCATGCGTCCGACCAGATAGCCGTGTACGTACAGCCAGCTGAGTGGCAGATGGTGTATGACTGGCCGATCGTGCTGAGGAGCTGACATCCAGATGTGCGCATAGTGTTTTCCACGTTTACGTTCGATGAAGAGATGGGAACGTTGGCGGCAGTGAAGGCATCAAAAGCTGGATCTCCACGAGATCCGTTTCCGGGCCATTGTGTATGTAGGTTTGCTTGTGGGTACTGGTCGAAGTTTTCCGGAGCTGTAAAGCCCTGCTCATTGATTGTGTCTGTAGATCCAAGGCGTAAAGGGTACTTGGAGAGGAGCTGCTGGCCACTTCGGCCGTTGGCAGCGATATCAACAATGTAGACCTGGTAGCCTTGATCAAGGTAGTAGGAAGCCCAACCCTTGCGATTATCTGGCGTATTCAGCCATTCTGCGCCTGAGTTGACACCCGCGGAGACGAAGACCATCGGGTAAGGCTTGTTGACTTTACTGGCGGGAGTCAGCTTTTCGACATAAAGCTGGTCGCTCCACATCTGCTGGCCTGGAATGCCGGAATCGACGTAGCTGCCACCGATGTAGAAGAAGTCTCGTTGGTATGCTGATTCCTGGCTGCTACATTCTGGGCGTATGCCATTGACACCAGTGCAGTCTGTTGATGGGTGATCTTGTGCCGAAGTTTGAAAGGGCAATGCGCCTAGCAACAGACCCGAGAGAATGGTACGTGAATGCATGATTAGGTAAAGACGGTGATGGAAGAAACGAATGGACCACGAGCAGTGATAAAGGAGTGAATACGGATGATTCTTGCAGGGATTGCGCGGTCAGGCCGGCAGCCTGCATCTGCTCTCAATTTGAAGAAGGCTCTCATTCCGGCAGGCCGCGGCATTAGCCCCAATCGCGCAGACGAGATATGTAATCGGTTCAAATTCCGTTATGCGACTTCTTCGAGATTCTTTCCGTTTGCTTTTGCAGGCTCGGGAGAAGAGCGGAAATTAGTCACCATAAATGGCTTAGCGGAGCGGCTGCATCCTGCCTTCCCAATCACCCAGACCCCGGCAGCGGGGAACCTCGACATTCTCTTATCACTAGCGGTCCGCACTCCTCTGCAGTGTCTGGACAGCCCTACGAGCTCAATGTGTCTCACAGAGGAAAGCAGCTGCACCAGGGCACGGCGGCGTCCTTCAGCAGCTCAGCGCAATGCGAAGAATGCACCACTTTGACACCATGACATCAATCCCTCGGAGACGGGCACATAGAAGCTCATATATTGAGAAAGTTATCGTGCGCTAAGATCTGGGCTTTCGCAAGATCTAACGTTCATCAAGTTTCAGTCTTTGGCGTATACTTCAGTGTACTCAGCCTTCATTCGCAATCTATGCCTAACCCAGATCTCTCGTGTTCCCACTTCACCCTGCAAGCCTGTTCATCAAATACTGTCTCTTTCTGTACGCTGACCATCTCCAGAGAAGTCACTTCCTCATACTCTACGGCAAATCCCGCCTGCCTCAGATGGCATTGCCGACCACATCTGTCCGGACAACCTCTGTGAGGTCGTATTCGACGTGGACAGAGATACACTTGCTCAGTTCGTGGAACAACGCACCACTCTTCAGTCTTGTTCACGGGAAGGATCTCGGGATGCATCAAGCCGATGCTTGCAAAATCGCGGACTTTAGGATTTGTTGTTTGAACTTTAACGGCGGTGAGGTACTTCTAGCTACATGTCAGTATCAAGCGTACAGAAAAATAGAAAATCAGTACCTTTGCTTCAATCCACTCATACAGCTTCTTGATCTGAAAGTACAGCGCTTCAGCTTGCAAGTGATTGTACAAGTCATAGTCGAAGCCGTTCATCACGCTGTAAAACAGCGGGAATACCTCAGGACGACGCATATAGCGGAGGAGGTGCTCGAAAAGGTCAGGATCGGCATCCAGGAAGTACGAGCCGTCTAATTCGGGTGTCCAAGAGTAGCAGACGGAGAACTGGCGTTGGAAAAGGCCTGACTCTTCCTCCAGAGTGTTGCGCGCAACTTTGAACTTGCGGCCTCCTATGTCAAGGACAAGGTTCTTCGGATAACTTGTATCGGCACTCGGAGTCGCTGTATCGGTGGAAGTCTGATCGTGACTCATTCTTGCGATCGTCTATTAGGGTAGGAGCTAGTGAAGCTGCCGTTATAAGCTGGCGGCTTAGATACGAAAGGTTTGCTTTCAAGGTCGATTAGTGTTTTACTGTCCATTGTCTACACTATGCTGACGAAAGGTAGAATTAGGAAGATTCGTTGTGACTAGAATACAAATGCCGAAACGAAGGCTGCTGCGGTACCTGTCAAGCCGAGAAGATGGCGTGACATGTGAAGGCAAGATTTCCGGAGGCGCACAATCCAAGATCCTCATGATGAGTAGCTTATTTGCGCTTTACCACAGTCGCCTTCCATAATAGTCATAAGCTTCAGCAGGTGCCTTACACAAAGCCAGATGCTGCTGCAGCCTTTGCTCGACTACCCGCCGCTCGTTCTTTTCCCGCGACAAGGCCTGCTGAAGCTCTTCATGAGATCTCCTCCCATGCTTGAGACGATCTTCCAAAGTCTTCTTCTCGTTCTTTGTATGGTCGACCGATTTCCTTAGCTCCCGAGCAAGCTCGACCTGCCTAGCGTACTCCTCCTTCCACTTGCGGCTTTCCTCTTTGAGCATGTCGATCTTTTCAGCTTGTCTTTCGAGGGTGTCCTTTTCGGCTCGCACCTCCGACTTGCGAGTGAGCACTTCGATCTTCTGAGCTTGCTCTCTGATGGTACGCTTGAGTTGTATCATAGAGGCAGTGTCGTTTCGGAGGGACGTAAGTTCGTTGGTGAGTTGCGACATCTCTGCCGCTTCTTCTTGGTGACGTTGTTGCATTTTTGCTGTAGCCGTTGCAAAGCCTTCGATCTTACGCTTCTTGGGAGGAGCTAGTTATTGGTCAGTCAACTATCAAAAACGGAGGAACTGAGTGTGCAGGAGAGTTTTCTTCCGCTGTTAAATTTGTGTGGCCTCTAGCCTACAGGATGCTTACGCTGCTTATCAATGGGTGGTGTTCTCTCCAGGCCTGACCATAACTCTTGATTGGTCTTCCGGAGTGAGCGACATGGCCGATTCATTTTGGCGGATTGGTTAGTCTTGTCGCAACGTGGATGAAGAAGGTAGTCGCTGTAGTCTGGCTAATGGAAATTGGCCTGGAACGTGCGACACGCTAGATAGACGAGGTGAAGGTGAGTGTGCGCGACCCCCGATTGCCCACACGCCATTTGGATGTACAACAAACGAATGATGAAAGTCTTAAGCAGAACTAAACTTGACCCTGAACATACAGCTTTCGCCCCCGCTCGATGAGCTCTTCCAAACGAGCCTCACCAATCTCCCCGCCATCTTGGGCACCTTGTTCAGCGCCACTATACCTCCACCCATACTGCGTCTTGACCCACGCCACATCCCACGAACTCGGCCTGGACCACATAGGAATCATCTCATATCCGAGATCATGATTCGTACTGTCCCTGTAACGCGCTACTGGGCACTCCGCCTGGTTGCCATTCAGACAATTCTCATTACCCATGATGTAGCTGTGGTAGTGCATGATGCTATTCGCATCGTACGGTGAATCGGGGTTCAGTGTCCAGCCATCCTCGGATTTCCCGTACAGAACAGTATCGGTGTAGGAGCGGCCGCTGAAGTTGTATCTATCAGCAATTGTGACGTCGTTGCACAGCTCGTCGGTCGTCGTGCTTGGGTCGGATTCACGCGCGCGTGCGAGGGCGGTGCGGTAGTCGGTGAGCTTTGTGCAGTCGTAATGGATGTACCTATCACGGTCTGAGCGTTGCTGCTCGTGCATCATTCCTTTTGTTTGTCAATCTTGTAACATCCGAGATCGCGGGAAATGTCCAACGTACCCATGACATGTCCAAGTTCGTGTGCTACAGTTGTGACGCTGGCCTCTACGTCTATCCACATGTTCAGATCCCAAGGCTTTCCCGGCGTATCACCCATGCCCACAGTGGATGCGGCCGCGGCTTTGCCCACGCCATCGTCCTTCCAGATGGCGACTGTCTTGTATGGTACAGCCATATTCCATTTGCTCTCAGCTGGACTGTTGACATCTATGCAGTACCTTGGGTTCTGTGAGAAGTCAACATACTCCGAGAAGATGATCTTGTGGTTTGTACCCGGCGACGGTCCGCCGCCGAGAGCTGTCATCCAAACTCTGATAGCTGCTTCTAGTTTCTCAACATTTGCTTTGCGATGTTCTTCTGTCGGAAAGCAGTACGGTATCAACGTAATGCCCTTGATGTAGAGCTCCGTCCACTTCTTGGGGCCTCCACTGCCTTCGTGACCCCAGAGAGATGTAGCGCCAGATTGCATCCCATCATAGGTTGGAGTTTCGGTGTCGTTAGACGGAGGTAGGATAGCGCATGGACCTGAGAAGATAGGGGATATTGGGGGAATAGACGCCGCTATCGCCTGAATGGCAGCCGCCGCAAAGACCGGGAGGTATCTCATGATGATACTAGAAACAGTTGATAAGAGCAAAGGAATGTTGGGAATAGGGAGTGTAAGGGAGTATTTAAGATAAGTGCAGATGCCATAATGTACTCGTGATCACAAGGGGCAATCCGACTGCAACGCGCATCGGCCAATTACGCATTTGAGTCACAAGGCTCATTCTGGTGAAAGAGCATTGCTACTGGAAAACACTCGCCGGACGCTCAAGCCTCGAATGCACGGCCTTTGTGGCGCCCCGGATTTTTTCGGACTATTTGAGCAACTGCATCAAATAGCAGCACTGGCAACATCTCTGGCAGCCTTCTCTTCCTCTACCAGCTTCGCCCGTTGACGATCCAACATCCTTAGAACCTTGGGATCTTCGCCAGTCACCTTACCTCGCTCGATGTATGGATTTCGATCAAAGTCTTCATCTGAGGCTTCCTCATTCTCATCTTGTATGCCCGCATTCTCGACTGAGTCGATATGGGGTCCTTGGTATGGGTAATTGGTGCGGACCCAGCGGACGTCGCCTGGACTCGGCTTTTCAGCATCTTCGATGTACGCTATTCCTTGCGATTTATCTCCAGGCACCTTCCACCTCCTCAATGGGCATTCTTCCGGGTGGTCTCCCTCGGCGCACTTTTCGTTGGCATGCTGGAAGCTGCTATACGACATAATAGAGTCCACGTCGTACTCGGTATCAGCTTTCATCCACCAGTACTGGGCAGGGCTACCATAAGCCACGGACATGGTATAGTGGACAGCGGGGAACTGAAACTTCTTGGAGTAGTCTGCGAACAGACATAGCTGGTGGTCCTTGAATTGCGGGAGAGCCTTTCGGGCCCGAGCGAGCGCGTCCGAGTAGCCTTTCAACTTTTTGCAATCGAACTCAACGTGTTTGTCGCGGTCTGTGCGCTGGTGTTCGTGACCCATGCCTTGAACTGTCAGTAATGATCATGATATTTGTTTGTTTGAGACATACCGAGCACGTGACCAATCTCGTGCGCGACGACCAGGGCAGCCGTCTCTGGGCCGATTGACAAGCGGAGTTTCCAGGGTTTGCCTCTATCAGCCGCGCTGCCAGCCCCCATAGTCGCGTAAGCTCCGTTGGTCATCTTCTCTGACAGACTGATCACCAACGTTGTAGTCGGCAACGAAGGGTTCCACTGTTGTTTGTTTTCGGGGTTCGGATCATAGCACAAGTGATGCTTGGACGCCTTGTAGTCATACCATTCGTTGAATTGAAGATCATGCCCGTTGTCTCTACCACGCTCTCCGCCTAGAGCAGCTTTCCAGAGGGCTACAGCTGCTTCGACGCGCTCAAGTAGCCTGGCACGGTCCGTCTCAGAATAGAAGCAGTAAGCAACCAATGATCTACCTGGGGAAACGATGTCGGTCCATTTCTGTGGACCGCCCCAATTGATATAGTTGAACAGTGAAGCACCGCCATACTGGGTTAAATCCTGACCGTTTGTGGTATCTGCGGTATCCGTGATATCCGTAGCATGAGCGGCCAGTTGAGCTTCGACTTGCTCATCAGTAATGGGTGGAATGATGCAAGATTGATCTGGCAGGCTCGAAAACTGGTCCAGCTTGGGGACTACCGCAGCGAGCGCGCCGCAAACCAGCAAGGAGACCACGGGAATACTGCAGAGCATGGCTGTGATTGTCGGGGTGCTGCTTTCAGTGAGTCCGAGTTCCAGAAGTATCAGATAAGAGAAGAGGATACCAGAGATTCGCAGCTTGTAATGATGGAAGGTATGACCGGCTAGCTCGGCTTGGCGCAACAACGGGGCTTGGGGTCGCCGTCGATGCAGCAACTGTGGAAGTGAATGCTAGCCCGTAGTCGCGATATTGGCATCACTGCTACACGACCGAATGCATCTTACCACTCGCAAGGTTCGTTGGCCTCCAGTTCCGACAGATGCGGAGCGTATGGCGGCGGACTTTCGGGGGTCCTAGTGAAGGTGAGACCGCTGCCTTGCGATCCCGAGCCAGATGTTATAATCTTGCCGCCTGGATAGATCTGCATTCACTGAGACGCAAAAAAGGAACAGCGCTAGCGATATTGTGGCCTGCCACTCAACAACAACAGCCCAAACCTTCCCCACAAATCAAAGCCGCAATCGTTGCGCCCACGACTCAGCCAAGATGGCGCACTCTCCTACCAATTCAGGACTCAAGAACATGCGCGACTTCTTCACGCGCAGCGAAAAGGAAAAGATCCCTCCTGAGCTCAAACACGCACTGTCGCTACTGCAATTACCCAACTTGGACAGTCTCGAAGAGCGCTTCCTCGCGACCGCTGCGTTCCTAGAGCCATGGGCTGTGTTCCGCGATTCGATATTCTTGCGTCAACCGGAGGCGGTACCACGTGCAACGGCGATAGCCAGAGAGGAGGGAGAGGACGGTGTGTCTCGCACAGACCTGTTGTGGTTTTATACACGATTCGACGAAGGTGTACACCGTTATGACCCACGCGCCGACAAGCACAGCGCGGAGTACACATCGGACTCCAGCGTGCATGGAGTAATCGACAAGAGTGATTGGACTGTGGAGGCGTACGAGAAACACCTCTTCGCCTGGTTGCTGCAGGTATTCAAGGTCGGCAAGTCGCGCAATCCGTGGAACATTGACTACTTCGAGCTCCGCAACATCTGCACAGCCTGGGAAATAGTCTTTGTGCCGATCGTCAATGCTGTTCGCGCTTCCTACAGTGTCAAAGGCCGACGACACTACGGTCGCCTCGCGCTTTACATCGAAGAGCGGTGCCCATCTGGTCTCGCTTTTCCCAAGGACAACGTCTTGGTACCTGGAGGAAGCCTGATGTCGCCCACGCCGTACCGCATAATCTCCTTGCCGAAGAAGGCCGTCAGTGATGAAGGCGCAACATTCCACAAACGTGTTGGTGGTGCTGGAGTGTTCACGCGAAAGCAGTACGACGAGGCCGAGAAGGAGCTTCGCGATGTGTACCCTCAGTATGGCGGTTTGGTTGAACGGCCCAAGTTCAAACATAAGATGGAGGAGTGGTTGAATGAACAGCGAGCCCGAGCAGAACGCAGGAAGGCCGCAGAGAAGACGGGCGAAGCGAGGGCCTTCCAGCCCCAGGTGATAAAGCGTGACGGTAGCCGAAGCTCAGGAAAGAGCAGCTCTCCCGATAAGGACCGCAGCAGACAAGACCAGGATGGCAGCGAGAGCCCAATCAGACGGTACTCAGATAGCATCCGCCGCTCGCTGTCTCGAGGCATATCCAGAATGGCGTCGAAGGAGGAGCCGAAGAGTCCGCTGCATGGTGTAACACGACAGATCCATCTACCTGATGAAACACCAGCTTATCGCCCTTCCGAGCCCTCGTCAACCGAGAGGCATGTGAGTGGCGCCTCAACAGATACCACTATCATCACACCATGGCCCCGTCCTGATACAGTGCGCAAGCCATCTGACCAGAGTGTCTACACGTCAACCCATAACTCAGACACTCTCATCCTTCCCGATAGCCATCAGCGCATGCAAATGTGCGACGACACGGACGAATTGATATATTCGCCCATGGGCCAGTTGAGTGCTATACCACAGCCACTGCACCACAAGTACCAGCCTGAGATGCGGGTCGCGCCAACGATCGAGAAGGGAAGAGCACACCCGGATGCACGGGTTCCAAGCTACGAGGGCAGTGGTTGGGACGACGAGATCTCGTTGACAAAGCTCAAAACTGTACGCGAGGACACTGCGAGAGATCTGCAACGCGTTCAGCCCTCAAAGCCAGTCACGAGGCTTCCTGTGCCTATTAAGCCAACTGCATATACCGGCGATCTGCGTATCGCGTCAAACGACATCCATCGCAAGGCGACACCAAACCCTCTTGCGTGGCCGGGTACTTCTCCGCCCAAAGCAGTACCATGGCCCGGAATGGAGCATACCGTTCCGTCCGTGTCATCCAGAAGCCCCGAGCGATGGAACAGTACACGTGGGCTTGCCAACAGCGCTCGTCCTCAACGGCTATTGCGCGATGAGTCTGATCGCAGCGTTACGCGCATCGTTTCGAAAGAAAATATTCGCTCCGTGCTCAAGGGTAACTCTCGTGATAGCTCAGCAGAAGATCTAACTCTGCCGCCTCCCGTACCGATGCTCCCAGGGCAGAATAGAACGATGAGTCCTGCTGGCGCTAGGTTGCAGACGTACAACACAAATCTATTCCCGCGTCGAGAAGAACGCAAAGGAACTCCAGTCGGTGGGTGGGTTGGTGCGGACAAGAGCAGAGGTGCACATGGCGGTCCTTTTGAGCTAGATATGCTTGATGGGGCGAATTCTGGCCAGGGTGTTCAGAGCAGGACTGCAGGAGGCGATACACGATACCATGAGGGATACCATGGCAGGCATGAGCCTGACGACCGTCGGAGTCTCGAGAAATGGATCTGAGGTTGCGTTGCGACTAAAAAGCCGTGCGATAGGAACATTTGGCCTGCTCCAGCTGTCGCCCCGGTCAGCCTTTCGCATCATTGAACAGGGTTGCACTGCCGCCCTCACGTCGAGACACAGGCCACATTTTCGGTCAAGGGTTGCTTCCCGGTGGTGGACGATGCTGGGCTTGGCAGACACGCGTAAGGGTGCTGAGCATGGACAATAGAAAATAGAAGAAGGAAAATACAACGTGAAAAGCGAACACTCAGGGTGTATTTTGATATGGTGACCTGACTCTCGGCCTGAGAAGAGCGACAAGCGGAGGTTTGACGACGTGAAGTGCTGCCCGCCCCCTGTGACGCGAGAATGCCACGCTAGCACGCACCAGCCTTTCCAAGGTTAGCGGCAGCAACACGTCACCGACAGCTGTGGCAGCATCATGGGCAGTCTTTGGACATGTCGCGAGACAGTGGCCAGTATAGAACAAATTTGCAATCCATGCTTGCGTGTGGATATCATTCACGATCGTCCTCGATCTCAGCTTTATGTTGTGATCGCTTTCCCCGCATCTACCACCGCGGCATTGCACTCTGCTATCTTGCTTCGTGATACATGATCCTCTTAGTCCAACAATGCGCGAGCTCGCAGCATAGGCGATGACCATCCGACTTGACCGGCGCAACACCAATGTGCGTCAAGACGTAGTGGTTATGCCCGGAAACGAGTGGGCTGGTCGTGAACTGTATTTTCCGCCACCAGCGCAACCTCCATCTGCACCATCTCTTTCCTGCCGACGAAACGGCTGCATACTGAATATGAGCTGGACTGGGGTTAATGGCGATGGCATGTCTTTGGCCTACCATGAGAGCGCAATAACCGGGCTGAAGTGCGCGGGCCAAGGGTGGGCTGCCTGCAAGCCGGCCTCGGATCTTGGGGGCGCCGCTCGCTACCTCACCCAACTTTCACGTCGTGCCACATCAATACTTTGTTTTAGCATCCGCATGCTGCATCGAGCAGTCATCAACCAGCGACTTTGAGCACGACTGGGGCTCTCTCTCTCTCTCAGACATGTCGTCCTTGTTTGTTGAATTACCAGCCGAACTGGCTCAGCACATCACGGCGCTCCTTCCACATGTTGATCTCCTCAACTTGAGCCTGACATGTAAAGAACTTCAGAAGCACGCGGAATCGTCACTCTACCGAGAATACATACAGCCTCACGGGAAATCGCTTTCCATGTTCATCGACCGCATCCTTGCAAGGCCCGATATTGCGGAAAAATATGTCAGGAAGATAAAGCTGGGTTTCTGGGACTCTAAGTTCGCCGGACCCCGTCCAGAGATCATATCCGAAGAATTGTACGACGCGTATACGAAAGCTGCAAAGGCCGCAAATGTCATCGACATCATCGTCCCATATGAAGCCGCGGAAGTTACCTCAAAGGGAGCTTTGGTTTCAAATTGGCGTGAGCGAGATTGGTACACAGAGCTTCTCATGAAGAAAAGCCAGGGTGCTGGGTGGCCTCCTTATGATCTCATGTTCTGCCAGGTTCTGCGTGCTGGGCATGAAGATGCACTGGTCGCACTCGTTCTGGCCCTTCTCCCAAATCTTCGAGTACTTGAGCTGCACACCGTTCTCATGAACCCAGACCAAATCATACTACCTTGGCGTTTGCCTAAGCATGGATTCAAAAAGCTAGTCAGGCTTACCGCCGCCAATGATAGGGCTATACCATGGTCTGCGTCCTTTTTAAACCAGATAATGGACAACACTTCGCTCCAAACCCTAGAGTTGGCCAGAGGGAGCTGTTGGTATCAAGCTGGAGGAGACCTCCTCGAATCGCCGCCAATTGCTCTACCTCTTGGTCTCGGGGCGCTCACTGCTCTTCATCTTCCGAATTGCGCTTTCACGTGCGTGGAGATGCAAAAGCTCCTCTCAGCGTCCCCTCGTTTAAAGCGGCTATACTTTTCATACGGATTAGCTATGGGCCCTTACAACTTCACAGCAGGCGAGCTTATCACCATGCTTGACTCATTCAAAAACACCCTGGAAGACTTGTATCTGGACATCGTACCCAGTTGGATGACTCCGCAAGAAGAAGATAGTGACTCCAGCCATCTAATCGAATCGCTAAGACACTTCACTGCCTTGAGGCGACTGGATACAAATGTGGACGTGTGGAGGATGTTGGACGTTGGGGCCATCTTGCACAAGTATCAGCCCGGTATGAACATGAACTACGAGTGCAAGATATTGGAGCAAGATCGTTGGTGCTGGCGGCTACCTCCAGTTCTGGAGTTTTTGTCACTCCATCCCACCCATCGCGAAACGACGCCTGATAGCCATCAACTTCGCGATTTGGTATCATCTCAAAGGCAGGCCCTACCTGAGCTGAAAGCTTTGGTCATCGCCATTCACGACGAAGGTTTCAGGGACCTAATGAAGATGGAGTTTTACTCGTACATGGAGGACTACCAAGCAACTATGGAAAATGAGACAGACATGGGAGCCCCATCTGGTACCGACGACGAGTCGTACATGGACAGTGAGTCTGATACGGACGATCGATCGAGCATGGACAATCAGTCGTCTGATTCGGTCGACCAACCGGGCGTTGGTAATCAGTTTGGTTCGGATGATCAACCGGGCATGGTCGCTCAGTCTAATTCAAACGATCAATCGAACATGAGCGACTGGTCGAGTGTGAACGGTCTCGATGAAGATGACCGGATTAACATCAAAGTTGGGAGTGCTGCAGAGGCATCTGGGCCCATCAAAACCACATTTCATGGCTGGCGTCCAAGCAGTGAAATGCCTCGTATACATTGGGAGGGACACGCATATGTACTGAAGCCAGGCGAGAGACCCTGTTCTGAAGCAGACAACTCACAACCAAGAATCGATCGGTGGTTGCGTGAGTTGACAGGGGTCAGCACTTACCTAGCATCAGAAGGCGATCCAGACTTGGTTTACTCATCATCTAGTGAAGAAGACTTTGGACACGGGTACATGTTGGATGCCGAGTGGGAAGATCTTGTAGAGACTCTGTAAGGCATAATCAGATATCGCATGACGATCGGTGTTCCGCTACAAATGATGCGCTTGTTGCGAAATGTGCGGAATTCCGTGCACACGACATATGTTGTAACTATACATGTCCTCGTTGCGAAACTAATCCAATCGCATGCATCAACATGATGGCAGACATGACAAATGCGACGCTATTTGTAGGATAAAATCACCAAGACTCAGCTGTCGCAGCCCGGTTCAGAAGTTGTGGAAACGCTATACCTAGTTGGGTTACGGTGGAATGAACTACCGTCATCGATTTACCGCAATCAGCCTATCCAGCGTCGCTCACTCAGTTTGGCGTCTCACAATCGTCTGGCCGACATTTTTTCATCTGGATATTGCGTTTGATGCGGATGCGCCTCCTGTCAGACTAAATTAGGTGGACGGGACGGGGCGTTCTCATCTTGCGGATCAACAACCGCCGTCACCGCTGGTTCTCTGCCAGCTGCTATCTCATCGCGCAGTATCAACATGGGTAGTCTACTTTCCTCGAAGGTCGCGGATGACTGGAAGAGCGATGCGCGATGCGCCATGGAGGATTCAAGATTCTGCGTTATATGTGGTGGTCCTTTCGATGTCGAAGGCGATGTTTACAATATTGACCCAAAAGACATGCGGTTCCAGGTAAACTATCTGTTCTCAAACAAGCGTTACAGACTGCTGACATTTCGCGCATTCTAGTGGTTATACAGCCTTCGTCTTCTTGGTAGCATCGAAGATGTAGCTGAACATACGGTAGCTAGCGAAGGATCGACGTAAGAAGCGGCTCTCATCTATCTTCACGCGCTAAAGTCCGGACAAGGCCGACCAACGTATCTGAGATACCAGGCATCTTCCTCTCCGAGATTGCGTCCTTCAACATGGCTGGATCGGGCTACTTTCGAATTGTTGGCGACGCTGGCCAAGATGATATCTGGCTCGACGCTTTGTGTTATGCACCGGATTACCGAACCTTGTTTCCGTTACATGAATCGTGTATTGCGATCAGTTGTCGAGCCATCGACCACTTCGACTCCAGAAGGAAGGATACTGTGCCGACATCTGCTCTTAAACTGCTGTATCGACTGTTGAGTGCGCGTTTCATTCGACGAAAATGCCGTATAGACGAGCCACTCGAGACATCAAACGACATTTTCGATCTTTGTTCTTCTTCATGCGATTATGGACCTAGGAGCGCATTGGCTCTGAGCAGGCTAGAATGGTGGGGCGCAAAGTATGATGTAGGTAACCACAATATGTTCTTCAAGCTCGCCATTAATGATTCACAGAAGTTCTACACCGATCCCATCGAAGTGGGAGATATCGCCTCTTTCGTACATAAAGTATTGCAGACTTCGCCGCGTCGTAGAGACGAATCCAAGTGTACGCCAAAAGCAACGCGCGAACCCCAAAGATTGGAGCGCCTGCCGACGGAATTATTGGATGTGGTGTGCAGCTACCTTCCAATACAGTCTGTCATAGCACTACATTGTACCTCAAAGATGCTGGCTCTGCAGATACCACTCGATTCCGCTTTCTGGCGAGACAGCCTCCGGGACGGAAGTCTACATCCGCATGTTTGGGATCTGGACACCAAGTGGATCGAGCAGCATCTTACCACTCCACATGCAGCACATGTGGACCCTACTGCTTGCTGGGACTGGAAGTTTGCCGCGAAGCTTCTTGCGAAGAAACGCTTTCGGGTCAGTGGATGTGACGAGCGTCTACTTGACGTGCCTGACGGACTTTGGAACAGGTGTAGGATATGGGCTACTATCGAGGAAGCGTTAGGAGAGCAAGAAAGAGAACGGTCGGAGAACTAGCGGGCTAGGTTCAAAGGCGTAGTCATAAGACTGTCCGGAACCCAAGCAATCGCGATATCAAGCGGCTCCTGACCGTCAAACAGTCCCAAGGAAATGACGCCTGCTCGTGGGGAAAGGTTTGCATAGATGTGCACCTTCTACGACTTCTTCCAACACAGTCACCGATTATCGCAACGAACGCTCAAGAAATTTGACTGCCTTTGCGTTCAGGGCTGCGCTAGCGAGGCGACAAATCTAGGCCAACTTTCGGCAAACTGCCCGTAGAAGTCGCAAGATGCACTGGTCACAAACAAGTACGCGGCCCGTTCACGTAGCGCTCTCGTCAACGGTTCGACATCTTTTTGCGGAACTGAATGGATCATATACGCAGTACGAGACCGTTCGTACGGCGAAGTAGCAAGCCACTCTTGGTACTCTTCGGTCACGAACTCCTTGTAGGCTGTTTCCACAACTACTGTGACCTCTGGTCCCGGAGTCGCAAGCTCAGTACTGACTGCTGTGCCAGGATTATGAATGATCTTGGCCTAGTCAGCTTGGGTAACTCTCACCCGTCCAGGATGGATAATTAAAGACTTGCCATTCTCTCCTCTGCGACGCCGGCAAGTACATGCGCTCTGCGATCAACGGTGTCGAGGTAGCGTTTGACTTCCTCCGAGTACAGATTCACTGTTTCATCAAGGAAGATGCCGTCCACTCTATCCCCGCTGTTCTCTCGACCTCTTCCATCATACGACTCGATATCATCAAGGATGTCTTGAACAGGCCGTTTGCAATAGGTTGTGCGCACGTAGCCCAGGGTGGTGACGGTCGGCAATGCATTTAGCCGCGGTATCTCCCGGAGATAATCCTCATTCGGCCACCACGGTGCAGCACCCGGTCCGCTGTTTGGATTGATGATTACCAAAAACTGAACATCCGGAGCCGCGGCGATGCTGAGAGACGTCAGTAAAGCTTCGTGTTAGCGGCGAAGGAAACACTACGCTGTATAGAGAGGACTCCATGCACCCGGATGTGGGTAAATGTACAGCGGAAGAAGTATCTTTGAACGGAGATCTTGCGACATTGCAACGTGAAAGGGGTAGATGTGTGAAGAGGAAGAGGTGGCATCCCGAATCTTAATGAAGAGCTGACTAACCACAAATAGCAACCCGCAATGCACTACCTCTCTTACAAAACATATGTCTGTTGAATTACTGCGATAACGATGCGCGCCACTCAGTTCCGCGGGTGGACGATTCTTGAACGTGAATCGTGATTACAGACCAAACCTTGGACAACAACGCACATTGGACGTCGGAAGCCGCCCATGGGAAGATCTTCTTTTCGCATGCCGTGTTGGGGGACCTCACAAGCTCCCGACGTCGGCATCCGACTAACAGGGTCGTCTTACACAAGCACTTATACGAAAGAAAAAAATCAAATGGGTCTAGAGCTCACATTAACGTTAGGTTACCTACTTTGCATGTTTCTATGTTAATGTAGGCTGCAGATCGCTTCCGCCGAAACCTTCGGCGGAAGCATGTGCCAAGCGCTCGCCCTCCATTCGTCCTCCGACGAACATCTACTCAGCCAAAGAAATCGGAGCTTTGCTCGAAGAACCGAATCATGTATTCGTCCGTACATCAGTATATGTGTGGCGCTTCTGCTACTCTCCTTTACCGCTGCAAATTGTCCCCTTAACACTCCCGCCAACATCGTCCTTAGTTTCGACTCCAGATGCACACGATGAACGAGCACAACTTCCACACCTCGATCGCATTCGATGCAACAGCACAATCGGCTGGTGGCGTCATGAAACCAGAAAACATCGCTGAGGAGAAGGTTCAGCAGCAGAACGACCAAGGCATCGAGGAAGATGTCAAATCTGAACAAGACGAGAAGCCCGATGATATCAAAGAAGAATACCCGAGTGGCATGCTGCTGGTGCCCATATTGATTGCAATACTCTGCGCAGTCTTTCTTACAGCCCTGGATATGACAATTCTTGGAACAGCCATTCCTAAGATTACAGACGAATTTGGAGGCCTTAACATGGTTTCGTGGGTGAGCTTTTACACTCTGGCTCGGGCTACTCGAGTGTTTGAATACTGACATGTCTTAGTATGGCTCCGCGTACTTCATGACGTTCGGCGGTTTCCAGTCCATGTCTGGCAAGTTCTACCGCTACTTCCCACTCAAGTGGTCCTTCCTAGGTGCCATCTTCATCTTTGAGATGGGAAGCTTGATCTGCGCCGTCGCTCCAGATTCTATAACTTTCGTCGTTGGTCGCGCAATCGCTGGTGTCGGCTCCGCCGGTGTAGTGACGGGGGCTTTCACTATGGCAGCATTCGCGGCAGAGCCTAAACGGCGACCAGCTCTGATGGGCATTGTCGGTGCTGTGTATGGTCTTTCTAGCGTTGTCGGTCCACTTTTGGGAGGAGTCTTCGCAGATACAGTGAGCTGGCGATGGTGGTATGTCCATGTTTTCTCATAACTGTTCCTCTCACATGCTAATCATGATACAGCTTCTACATCAACCTTCCTATCGGCGGCGCCTCTGCAGCACTGATCCTGTTCACTTACAAGACTCCACCACAAGCCGTTATCATCCAGGCCACTTGGAAGGAAAAGTTCTTGCAAATGGATCCTCTCGGCATTGCTCTCGTCATGGGCGGCATCATTACGTACATCTTAGCATTCGAAAATGGCGGCCAAAAGCGACCCTGGAACAGCAGCTACGTCATCGGCCTGTTGGTAGGCTTCGTCGTTATCGCAATTACCTTCATTACATGGGAGATCTTCAATGGCGAGCGTTCGATGCTTCCACCCCGGCTTCTCCGCGAGCGAACACTATGGCAGCCATCTGCCTTCATCTTCTTCTTCTCATCATCATATCTTGTCTTGCTGTACTACCTACCCCTCTATTTTCAGAGCGTCGACAACCGCAGCGCAATTAATTCGGGTGTGCTGAACCTTCCACTGGTCCTCGCGATGGTTTTGGGTAGCATCGTCAGTGGCGGCGTTGTCTCAAAGACAGGCTATGCTGCACCATTCATGATCGGCGGTGCCTTTCTAGCGACTATCGCTACCGGTCTAATGTATACATTCGACATTGGTACTGGGCTGGGCAAATGGATTGGCTATCAGGCCTTTTACGGTATCGCAGTCGGGTTAGGCTTCCAGATGGCCATCAATACT